TGCCCCCACCTTTACCTCGCTTCCCCTCGTCTCGTTTTATCTATTCGAAACCTCTCCTCCCGCTCCCTCACCGTTCCCCCTTCTCATTGTGCACGATCCACCGTTTCTGCTCCTTCTCCCCACGTGTCCCCTTGTACCGGAACGAACTTCCCCTCCGCGTGAAGCGAGCACCGCTCCCTGTCGAGTTTTTCTGCCTCCCTCAAGACACCCCCCCCCCACCTCTCCCATCCTTCCCTCCATCCCAAGGTACCCAGCGTAATTCCCGTTACCCACTAAATCTCCCTCCCCATACCCCATCCCGTTTCACCAAATCACCATTAGTTACCCTCATTGTACCACTCATAACCCCTGCAAATCGCCTTGCATAAAGGTGCTATATAAATATAAAACTAGACACTAAAACAGCAGTTGTGTGAAGATGTTCAAACTACCAAACAGATATGGTTCTTGCAAGGCATCATCAAGTCTGCATTAACCACACAGTACTTGTGGTCAACATGCAAACAAACCATGCTCTGATAATAATGATGTTATATTCATTGTCTTTGTAACTGATCGGCCTACACCAGAGACCTTCTTCTGTATGTCCTTGTCTCTGTGCGAGTGTGAGACCAGAGACCAACGCCAAAAGGTGAACAGTACAAAGACAATGCAAAGCTGTCAGAGCACTCAGAGCTCTGGTCGAGCTCCAGAAGGCTTTCTCTGGTGTAGGCCAATTTTACACCAGGGGCTTCAACCGCTGCTGCTGCTGCTGCCATGGGCTGTGCAGTCTGTGGATGATGCTGGTTTAGGGGTGGAAGCGTGGGCAGCAGCTTGGTGGAAGATCAAAAATCTCCCAGGGGGTCTTTCACAATTACAGAGGAATCCAATCAGACAAAACTCACTCGCTCAATCACTCACTCACCCACTCACTAACCCACTCACTCACTAACCCACTCACTCACACACCCACCTACCCACTCAATGACTCACCGACCCACACAACCACTCACCAACCCACTCACCCACCAACCCACTCACCCACCCACCCAATAACTCACTCACCAACTCACTCACTAACCCACTCACTCACCCACCCACCTACTCACCCACTCACCAACCCACTCACTCACCCACTCACTCACTCACCCATCAATTCACCTAACTCATCCACCCACCCACTCACTAACCCACTCCCCCGCCCAAACACCCACCCACCCCTCCTAACGTCACCTGTGGTAGCAAGCGAAGTGAAAGAGGAAACCAGAATTGTACCGCGTAAAGTCACGAAACGGCGGAAAAGAAAAAACCCAACCCAAGTTCGGAAAGCGTCCACTGAGGTTGCGTTGCCCGTGTGAGTTTCTTAACATTCTGCTGATGTTGTTGATGATTTTGTTGATATTGTTGATGTTCATTTCCCGTTTTTATGTAACATTTCACACACGCTGGACATGTCTTCGCTAATGCAGGGGAAATGCCTTGGTTGAGCGGTGATATCATTGTGTGTGTGATTAGCCAGGCCGCTTCTGAAAAAGAAGCTACATAGTGGCTCAGTGTACCTTACAACCCTGTACAATTTTAGTGTTTTTATTTCACGCGGACAACATCTTCTATTTCTCTCTCTCACTCTCCTAGCCTCTCCACTGCGAGCCAACCCTCTCTCTCACTCTCCTAGCCTCTCTACTGCTAGCCTGTTCTCTCTCTCACTCTCCTAGCCTCTCCACTGCTAGCCTGCTCTCTCTCTCACTCTCCTAGCCTCTCCACTGCTAGCCTGTTCTCTCTCTCACTCTCCTAGCCTCTCCACTGCTAGCCTGTTCTCTCTCTCACTCTCCTAGCCTCTCCACTGCTAGCCTGCTCTCTCACTCTCCTAGCCTCTCTACTGCTAGCCTGCTCTCTCTCTCACTCTCCTAGCCTCTCTACTGCTAGCCTGCTCTCTCTCTCACTCTCCTAACCTCTCCACTGCTAGCCTGCTCTCTCTCTCACTCTCCTAGCCTCTCCACTGCTAGCCTGTTCTCTCTCTCACTCTCCTAGCCTCTCCACTGCTAGCCTGTTCTCTCTCTCACTCTCCTAGCCTCTCCACTGCTAGCCTGCTCTCTCTCTCACTCTCCTAGCCTCTCCACTGCTAGCCTGTTCTCTCTCTCACTCTCCTAACCTCTCCACTGCTAGCCTGCTCTCTCTCTCACTCTCCTAGCCTCTCCACTGCTAGCCTGTTCGCTCTCTCACTCTCCTAGCCTCTCCACTGCTAGCCTGGTCTCTCTCTCACTCTCCTAGCCTCTCTACTGCTAGCCTGCTCTCTCTCTCACTCTCCTAGCCTCTCCACTGCTAGCCTGCTCTCTCTCTCACTCTCCTAGCCTCTCCACTGCTCGCCTGTTCTCTCTCTCACTCTCCTAGCCTCTCTACTGCTAGCCTGCTCTCTCTCTCACTCTCCTAGCCTCTCTACTGCTAGCCTGCTCTCTCTCTCACTCTCCTAGCCTCTCCACTGCTAGCCTGCTCTCTCTCTCACTCTCCTAGCCTCTCCACTGCTAGCCTGCTCTCTCTCTCACTCTCCTAGCCTCTCCACTGCTAGCCTGTTCTCTCTCTCACTCTCCTAGCCTCTCCACTGCTAGCCTGCTCTCTCTCTCTCTCTCCTAGCCTCTCCACTGCTAGCCTGTTCTCTCTCTCACTCTCCTAGCCTCTCCACTGCTAGCCTGTTCTCTCTCACTCACTCTCCTAGCCTCTCCACTGCTAGCCTGTTCTCTCTCTCACTCTCCTAGCCTCTCCACTGCTAGCCTGCTCTCTCTCTCACTCTCCTAGCCTCTCCACTGCTAGCCTGTTCTCTCTCACTCACTCTCCTAGCCTCTCCACTGCTAGCCTGTTCTCTCTCTCACTCTCCTAGCCTCTCCACTGCTAGCCTGCTCCCGTTCACTCTCCTAGCCTCTCCACTGCTAGCCTGTTCTCTCTCTCACTCTCCTAGCCTCTCCACTGCTAGCCTGTTCTCTCTCTCACTCTCCTAGCCTCTCCACTGCTAGCCTGTTCTCACTCTCCTAGCCTCTCCACTGCTAGCCTGTTCCCTCTCTCACTCTCCTAGCCTCTCTACTGCTAGCCTGTTCTCTCTCTCACTCTCCTAGCCTCTCCACTGCTAGCCTGCTCCCGTACACTCTCCTAGCCTCTCCACTGCTAGCCTGGTCTCTCTCTCACTCTCCCAGCCTCTCCACTGCTAGCCTGTTCTCTCTCTCTCTCCTAGCCTCTCCACTGCTAGCCTGTTCTCACTCTCCTAGCCTCTCCACTGCTAGCCTGTTCTCACTCTCCTAGCCTCTCCACTGCTAGCCTGTTCTCTCTCACTCTCCTCGCCTCTCTACTGCTAGCCTATGAATATACACTTTGGTAGCTTCTCTACTGCTAGCCTCTCACTATACACTCTGCTAGCTTCTCTACTGCTAGCCTCTCACTATACACTCTGCTAGCTTCTCTACTGCTAGCCTCTCGCTATACACTCTGCTAGCTTCTTTGCTGCTAGTCTTCGCGTACTCACACTTAGGATTCGGCTAGCTTCTCTTGATTTCTGCCTTAACTTCACCCCAACCAACCCGTCCGCGTTTTTCCACTCATCAGCGTATATGCCCTCACTCATTAAGAGACCTCAGGTGACCCTCATTAAGCCGGCGCTCACGCGCCATCTGGAGACTCCGAGGCGCCTCCACTGTGTCTGAATTTGCAGCCAGCCAATCACCACTATGCATCTTAATTGGTCGTTTATCTCTGTTGCTCTTCTTGTCTGCACCTGTTCACCCTGACGTGACCTCACTGTCCGCAGCTCATGCATGCGTGAAGACTGTTTGCAAAACCCTGAGCGCGTTACTCCACTCCAAAATAATAACATAGTTTAGTTTTAGTATGGGTCTCTGTCTCTTTGTATCTATATGGGTCTCTATGTATCTCAATGGCTCTCGATGGGTCTCTGTGTCTCTATGGGTCTCTATGTCTATATGGGTCTCTATGTCTATCGTTCACTGTGTCTACGGGTAGGGTACGGGTACGGCCGGGTACGGGTGCCCGTTTGTGACCCTGGTACGGCTGGGTACGGGTACGGGTAAGGAATCAAAACCCGTTTGCGACCTCTGGTAAGGCATGGCACACTGCCGGGGGGGAGGTGGGGGGCAGGGAAGCAAGCAGGCTGGGAAGGATGTTATTAACCAGGTAAAACAATAACTGCGTTAGGTTGTTGCTTCCTTGTCCGCATCCTCAGCTTTCTGCTGCTTCCCAGCCTGCTTACTTCCCCGCCCCCCACCTCTCCCCCGGCAGTGTGCCGTGCCTCCCCTCTCTTACTACCGTCTTCTTCTTACAGCTTTCCACACCTCGCTGCCATACTCCTACGCTCCCTTCATTGTTTTGTTAGGAAAAAGAGCCAATCCCTGTTGTTTGGCAGTCTCCTGCACTGAGTAGAGGACTGTCCACCCCTCATGGTGACTGGAGCCAAAGCCAGTCCAGCAGACCTCCTGAATACTACAGAGATCCAGACGGTACCATTCCAGCTCACAACAGAGGAGTGGTAGCCTCTCCTCCACAGTGAGCGTTCAAACATTCCGCGTGGCCAGTCACAGCGTTTTTTTGCCATTTGTGGAGGAACCCCGAGGGTAAAGATTCAGTTCCTGGCTCTGCCAAGTGGGGGTTGGCCAGGAGAAGTCGTAGACACTTGTCCCCCCAGAGCCTCTGGTACAAGCTTAGTTCGGTTTTTGCACGTAGTTTAGTGGTGATTGAATTGAAGGTGGAGGGGTTATCAGCCTTTCGTACCCATCCAGAGCACACATTTGGCCGCTGTGATGGCTACAAGTTCCATGACGGGTATAGCCGGTAGGAATTGGCCTTCCCTCCATGGCGTTGCTCACATCCACCACAGTGCTAGCATTCAACACCACCACGGAGGTAAGGGGTTACTTTTGCCAGAATCTTCCACTATATATACATGCACACACAGAGAGAAGAGAGACAGAGCAGCACACCAGTAATTACTGTCGCGTGGCATCTCCTCCATTAATCACCAGAGGTTCGAGACATGGACGAGTCAATGGCTGCCAAGCTGATCAGAGGGAAGAGGCCGGAACTGAAGACGTGGATTGGCAGGGACCCCACGTACCTGCTCGACTACTTGGAGAGCAGGGGTTTGATCTCTCGTGAGAAATACAACGAGGCCAAAGACATCAACGGGAAAGTGGAGCGTGCCAACTTTTTGATCAACGAGCTCATCGACAGGGACGAGTGCCTCAAGCTCTGGAGGGCTCTCGAAAGCCTACAGGACCCCTACCCCCAGCTGAAGGAGTGGATCTCAGCCTGTGTGTCGACTACACATCACGCTTGTGGTAAAGCAGTGCAAAACGATACACGGCTGCTGCTTTTATAAAAAAATATATACTAATGATGTTATGGCTTTGTTGTATTTGAAACTCATTGGCCTACAACCAGAGACAGCCTGGTTCATGGCCTTGTCTCTGTACCCATGTTGGACCAGAGAACAACCCTAAAACACCGAGAGTACAATGACAATGCAAACATATATGCTGTGATAATAACATAAACATTTTTGCGTTCATAACTAATTGGCCTACATGAAAGACTTTGTTCATGGCCTCGTCTCTGCCGGATGGTGCAAAGACGAACAGTACAATGACAATGTTAGCAAACACTGCTTTTATAATAATCGTAATAATAATAGTAACACTCATTGTAGTGTTTGGAACTCATTGGCCTCTGCATCAGAGACGGCAGACAGCGCTGCCACAGTCGTGGAACCAAAACTCGGGTACCATCCTTGGTAAGAGGCACACCGGTGCGAACAAAACAAATCTCGTCACACGATTGACTCCCGTCCCCGCATCGAAAAGCCGAATTGTTTTGTGTGGTTTGTTTTGAAGCTTGATAAATACCAAAATAATAATGGATTAAAGTTTAAGAATAGGTGTGATTTATATACACAACCATGTCTGGCAATAATAAAAACAAGAGGTGGTGTTAAAATATAATGCAGACTTTTGGTTCCTTTTGCAAGGAATCATCATGTACTGCATTAACCCACACACACATCATACTTGTGGAAAAACATGCAAACATGCTCTGATAATAATGTATGGCATTGTCTTTGAAACTGATTGGCCTACTACACGAGAGAGCCTTCGTGTGGAGTGACAGACCAGGTAGTTTCCACACAGCGTTATGCAGCCGATGGAAAGATAATGCCGCTCGATTGATTCGGAGTGAGACCACTGCTGTTAAACCAGACCTGGTCATGAGCACACTGCCCAGGTATGGGAAACTCTGCACTCTCTCCACAACTGCCCCATTACCAATTGGGAGTTGCAGGGGTGGAGTGTCTGATGATACAAAATACATAGGAAGGTGCTTAGTATTGGTGGGGCTAAATTGGTGCGGCACAGGCTAGAGAAGAGATGGAGTGATGTGGTACAAGAGAACGTGGAGCTGAGTGGACTTGTCAATTACCGGTACCAGCGGTGTCAAGATCAGCCTCTGTGGAAGAGGCTCATAAAATACGCTGCTACTGAGAAGTTGGAGGCAGTCGCCTTCCAGCAACAACGGAGGACAGAGGAGCGATGCTCACAACAATGAGCGGAGCACCGAGCGGCTAAAACACAGCAAATTGGCACAGTAGGGGGTACAGGTGGTGCATCGGCCAGTCAGCTCAGTCAGTCATCCCATGGCAACTGGGTCTGTCCCGTAACCTCCTGCTAGCGGGCTTTCTACACTTCACGTGGCCTCAAAGTACACCTAGCAATGTACAAGCGCGGGGGTGACATCACCGCCAATTAGTGGATAATGTCGGTTGTTGTTGTCAATGTAGTTGCGAAAACCAAAAAACGTTAAGCTGAAAAAAATTAAGGTAAATGCCTCCAGCCGATGCTTCGCAATCTTTTGTTTGTGTTTGTGTCTTTTTGTCTCCCTCTCATGAAACAGAAAAAGCTCCGGGACGTGACGCGAACGTTCAATACAGCACCGCTCCTGCTGGCGAGGTGGCGACGAAAGAGAAGGCCTTCAGGAGACTGACCGCGTGCTCGGACGAGCAACTGCTCGATGGCATACAGAAAAATATGACGTCGCTGGTCGAGGCTATCCAGGGAGATGTGCAGCCGCTGTTGACGAAGCTGTTCGAGAAAGGGATCTTCACAATTGCCGAGATGAATGTGAGCCCATCAAAGATGTCTTATTATCTCTCTCTTGTTGTTTAAACAGTAAGAATCTCGATAATCCGCGCCTTAGTGGCGGGAATAATTCAAAAGTCGTGGATAATCCCAAAATTTGAACATTTTTCATGGATCTCTGTGCCAAAAAAAATCCCCACCCAATGCAATTCTATAAGTTACATTTGAGTTTCTCTGGCCATTGCATAGTTTCATAAAAAAAATATGAATTAAACAAAATAAATAGAGGCGGTCACTTGAATTACGGGAAGAAGTTCACCATACGTACATACATATGAGTATGAGTCTCTATGGGTCTCTGTGGGTTTCTGTGGCTCTACATGAGTCTCTGGATCTCTGTGGGTCTCTGGTTTTATACGAGTCTCTGGATCTTTGTCGGTCCCTATGGGTCTCTTCCTTTCGATATTAGGAAGCCACCGGGGAGCTGTGATGCACTTTTATCATCTAGACTAGCTTATATACCCGGTGTTGCCTGGGCCAATTTGGTTTTCAAAACTTCTCTTAAAATGTAACAGCAGTGCGTACCGACTGCGGTGGTACCTGCTATCACTACAGTAGTACATGCCGACTGTATAGCAGTCTTTAGCGACTGTAGATCACAAAGTACTCACCTGACAGAGTGGCGTGGTGAGGCCTAGTCCCATGCAGAGCCTCCGGCCTCGCTTAGATTGTCCAGCCGGCCGAGGTGGCACGTTGGCAGGCTGGGGCTGGGCTGCTACCCCTGATCTCTCCGGCCGCTCTGCAGTATATCTACGGGCTATATTGGTAGCATCTAGTGACTGTATAGTAATAATAACTGCATGCATTGGGGTGGGTGGGGACATCACACAGTGAAGAAGTAACGTCAGTGTTTAGTGTATATTTTTGGCATTTTTAACGCGAAAGAAAATGTCCCCCTCACTCCCACCGAAGGCGTGCGACTTGGCATGGGCCGTCCCCCCCACCAAAGGCGCGTGAGTTAATGTGGTGGTGCATGCGTCATAAATAAATAAATGATAAGCGCACAAAAATCGCACTAAATCGCTAATTAAACAAATTTAAAGTTGACGGATTGAATAAGGAATAGTGCTTGTTCACCGCGGGGCTTACGGCTTGGTAGATTGACGAACTAATTTCTTAAGAACAGCTGCTTGTTGTTGTTGTATTTAGTTTGTTGTCCTTCCCCCCGGATACCTCCGATTGGCGCGGTTTGGCAAAGTATGGTGGTCCCAAAGAAGTGCAACGTACACGTACGTTTGGTGCGCATATCGAGTGCACTGGTGATTTCGATTAAGAATGTGCTCAGCAACAGCGTTTGAAGCTGATAGCTGTGGTGAGTATTATACCACTCGGTGAAATGGCAAAGACCAGCCTCTGTCTTAACAATTACACAGTGCTAATTTAACGTTTAAATTTTTTATTTGTTTATTCACAGGCTGTCTCGACCGCTCAAAAAAATAATGGTGGCTCTGAAGCTGCATCTCAACTGATAACGATGCTGCTCCATAAGGGTGACCGTGTGGCCAGAGAATTCTGGATGGCCCTCTCGAATTTGAAGACAAACTATCCGCGGATGCACAAGATCTTTGAGAATGGAATCTGATCATCGAGCCCGCTGCCTGATATCTGCAAGACGCTTCCTGGGGATGTTGCGGCTCAAATTTTATAAACAACTAAATTTTTGTTGTTGCTGTTATTTGATTTGCTGGGTGTAAGCCCACACAATGATAGAAGCTCTGTGTCTCTATGGGTCTCTGTGGGTCTCTATGGGTCTCTATGTGTCTCTATGGGTCTCTATGGGTCTATACAGAAAGAAGAAATTAAGGAGAAACATTATCTTTACACTCACAAGAACAGAGCTGCTTAATGTTAAACTTAAAGCTGAGGTCACCCCACCCTTTACCAGAGTGGCTAACGCCTGAGCACGATCTCTGACGAGTCTTCGGATGCTTTCAGATGAGGTCATGCAGAGTGTTACACCTCCCACCAAACTGCTCAAGTGTCCCTGAGGGTTTCAAGGGGCCAGCAAACCCTTGAACCCCCTACCTCTCAATTGCTACAGGAAAACAAAGCCAAGACAATCTCCTAACTTCACCAACACACACACACATGCACATTGTAGGGACTGAGTCTTTGAGCTGCAGTGAAATGATGATTATGCCGATTATATGTACAGGGACTCCTCTACTAACAAAAATTTAAGTTACGAACTTTCAGAGATACGAACAAACCTGTCCGTATGTCCAGTTGCCTGTTCGGACCGAGGGTCGTAAGGTTAACTGCCGCGCACTAAATGGCGTTGGTGATATCTAATTCTGTAGAACATGAAGAACCATTGGCATCATGATCTACAGCATATTATACAACTTTTAAAGCCATTCCCCATGTTTAGTGTAGATGCCGTACAACATGTTTGGATTCGACAGAATTCAAGTTGGGACTTACGAACAAATCGACTTACGGACAGACAACAGCAGTGCTCTGATTGGACAAAAATTGCCGCGCTCCATCCCGTGGGTGCATATATACACAGTAGAACTCTTCTTAACAAGCACCCCTGTTAACGACTAATCACTTAACGATAGGCATCTATAGAGCCCAATGTGTTCGCTTACCGACCATTCCCCTGTTAACGACTGGCTATTGTAGATACAGGGAAGATTAATTGATGCATTGATTAACCACATTTCTTTTAATGTTACGTGTTTATGTCAGTATCTTTAAGCATTAATATCCGGTTTTTTTATTACAAAGTACGTTTTTTGGGTGAAAAAGGGTAACTTTCGATGCTGTTGGAACGAATTAAGCCTTCAACGTCTTTCCTATACTCGCTTAATAACCAAATCAATTAACGCCCGGTTTTGTGGAACAAACTACCATCGTCAAGGTGTTCTACTGTATAACGTCAAACTGTGTGCCTATAATAGAGGTTTATTTGGGGTTAGTTTTCCGCAATCTAACCCCAAAATAAAAACCATCATAGGGAATATTGGTCGTGTAAGCGCCTACCTACTACTACGGATAAAACACACGGACTGTTTGTCAAAATTTCGATTTAAAGCTTTCGTGACTGCAGGGATTCATCTTCTTGGTTCTTTCGGTAAAGTCACGTAGAAGGGAAGTAATAAAATAATAAAAATAAAACATAATAAAATCAAATAATTCTCACAGTGAGAATTATTAGATTTTATTATGTTTTATTATTTTATTACTTCCCTTCTACGTGACTTTACCGAAAGAACCAAGAAGATGTTTGTCAAAATGTTAACGGGTTTAGTCGGAAACGCACAGGGGGCGAGGGTGGTTCGGGTGTGGGGGAGGTTCCTATGTGGAGGACAGAACGTTAACGTAGAAGAGAAACAACTCCCAGCTCTTGGCCAAGACCGCCATTGTGCCACTGTACTGTACGTTTTTACGTTGCATTTTATTTTTTTGTTGTCAATGCATTGTTCCAACGTGGAATTTTAAAAATTATGAATGTTTTTTAATATAATTAAGTACAATTAAAATAGTTATGGGTGTTGTTCATGAATAATTATAATCGATTGAAATTAATGATTGCATTTGTATTAATTTGATCGTAACGAATAATTATGCACACAGAATAGTTATCAGGAGCGATTTTGCGTGAGATTATCGTAAAGTAATAGTTTTTACACGGTTTTATGAATTAAAGATCAATTCGTAGATTAAATTTAAACAATGAACAGATTCTCGCATTAACCACAAGTTATCATTATTTGATTAAACTAAAACAATTAAAAGATTCTCGCATCAATCACGAGTTATCATTATCGTCTCTCTCGAGTCAGCGGGTGGTCTGCGCGCCAGGCTCGATCTGCAACTGGGGCACACAGTGGCCACGCTGGCACCAGGGGCTGGTCGCTTGTCAGCGGCTGTCGTAGGGGGCTCACTGGGGAGGCCTCGCGCCTTGCAGGCAGCCTGCACGTGGCAATACTGACACTCCCAGCCATCTTCACGCCTCATACAATGTCAGCCGCAGGTTTTCTTGGCAATCAAACAGAACTCTTCAAGCCTATAGCTAGGGCAATATTTCCGTTCGAACTCGATGTTGGGTGTGAAACTCAACTCTCCACTTTAGGGGAGGTTGCCTCATGCCACAATGGACGTTTTGCCAACATTTCCCTAATACCTCTTAGCTTAGTACAGTCTTACACTGCACTATGACACTATACAATACACCACTATACACTACACTACTCTATACTACTATACACTACACTACTGTAGCGACATCGCTGGCAAAGGCACGCCACACACAAGTTACTGACAGCTACCAGTGGCACCCTGTGCTGGGTGCAATGCCATCCCTAGCGGAATAGGTTGCCGGCGTGGTGCTGGCTGTGGGAACGGGGTTCCATGGGCGCATGGCACTCGAGTTGACCCCGGAGGACACGTGACTGGAGGCGTCCACTCGGGGGGCCACCAAAAGAGGGGGCTGGGGAACCACGTGTCCAGGAGGGATCCTTCTCAAAAGTTCAAAAATACAGCACCACATCTGCTGCATTAGACTCTCTGAATCACATTTACAGTAGCCTTGATAATAAGCAGTACTGCGCCAGTCTTTTTCTTGACTTGTCCAAAGCCTTTGATACAGTCGACCACGACACCCTGCTTAGTAAACTACGTTGCCTTCGTTTCTCTAAACACGCAGTAGAATGGTTAAAAAATTACCTCTCTTCTCGCATCCAAACTGTATTCATAGATGACTGGAGGTCAAACAGTGTTAAGATAACAAAAGAGGTTTCAGAGGGTTCCATCCTCGGCCCCCTAAATTCTCTCTTCATGTCAATGACTTGGGCACTGACCTGGATCATTCCAGGTTAAATATTTTTGCAGATGACACGATACTGATTACTGTTGGCCGCTCTCCGGATGACGTGATTACCAAGCTCCAGGGTGATTTCAACAAACTACAATATCAGCTAGTTGCTCTTAAACTAGTCCGGAATACCTCCAAAACCAAGGTGCTATGCTTCTCACCAGGACTAAAGCAGGAAGTATTTTTTCTTCAATTACAATCCTTAAATAATGATCAAATAGAGCAAGTCAAGATCTATAAGTATCTTGGGGTCATCCTTGATTCAAAACTGAATTTTCAAGATCACATTGATTTTATTGGTAAGAACACAAAAATAAAAATAGGTTTTCCGTATCGACACAAGCACTGCTTCCCCCCGATGTTTCGTTAAGAATTGATAAAAGCTACCATACTGCCTCTACTTGATTAGTGTGACATCGTGTATAAATCAGACCCCAGTACTGTACTGAAGAAGCTTGACTCAATGTATCACTCGGCCTTAAGATTTGCATTGAACTGCCCATATACCACTGCGATCTCTACATTGGGTCAAACTTAACATCTCTTAATGATCGACAGATTGTGCATCAGATCTTATTTATTCACGATGTACTTACAAAAAAATCATCAGACTACCTGCTGGATCTCCTCACTGTTTCGAAGAACAAATGTGACCTAAGGTCTTTGCTCATTTACCAGCTTCACATTCCTTATTGCTGTACAAATACTGGAGGAAGGGCCTTTGCTTTTGATGCCCCCAGGGTCTGGAATGCTATCGCCAATAAACTGCAACTTGGATCACCACCTGTGAGATCTTCACTCAAAACTGCTCTAGAGGAGTTGTACACCCCTAGATGCCACTGCTATTCAGTGGCCTGAAATTAAATGTATCGCTCCGGATGACCGCTGCAAAGTATGATCTTGAGTTTTGATTATAGTGTGCTGATCTATAAAGGTGCATTGAAATTTTTTTATACTCCTATTGATACACCTGCTGTTATGGAGTGACTCATGCTGCCAGCTATGGCTGAAAAGTTTGGTCGTACATGTTGTTTATGTCGTTTATTGTTAAATTTAAATCACAGTTCCTATGATCACTGTTACATTATTTTTATAGCTTTATTTTGGTGATTTCGACAAGTTTTGGTTTAGCAATATTTGTTTATTGCAGAACAGAGTGATACTCATAACTTTAATCTGAATGGTCTTATGGTTATTATTGTTTGGCTTGCATCCCACTGGGATTTTTGCACACAACATTGATATACGGTCCTTTTTCTGGAACACTTTGCTGTTTTTTCCTGGATTTTTCTGTTTGCGCATAGTCACTTTAAGATGTTTCTTGTTCATGTTTTTGTTTGTTGCGGTTGCACCCGATTCAAGAGCCGCATGGCTCACAGGGCTATACCTAATAAATGAACTGAAAAATGAACTGAACTGTCTACAGGAAAGTCATCCACACGCATGCCTATTTAAAGCCTGATTCCGTCCACCATCCAGCCCAGAAGAATTCCCTCATCAAAACACTACACCATAAGGCCAGTTGCATCTCCGACCAGCATCACCTAGCCCGTGAGCTGGAGCACGTACACCAAGCCCTCAGGATGAGCGGATATTCTGACCGTGCAATACGCAAATCTGTCTCCCCAGCCATGAGGAGACAACCATCTGAAGATCCAACCAATACCATCACTTTGCCATACATAGCAGGGGTTACCAAAATATTTCCTAAATCTTAAACAAACACAAGATCCAGGTCCGTTTCAACACAGTACACAAATCCGTGATTTGATCACATCTGTAAAGGATGTGATTCCTGATATGCAATACCCTGGTGCCTACAAACTGAGTTGTGGCTGCGGCAGCAGTTACATTGGGGAAACGAAACGACATGTCTCGGACCGTGTTTGCGAACACAAGGCAGATCTGAAACACGATAGGACCAATACCTCTGCCGTTGCTGATCAACTGACTGTGATGTTTCCATCCTACCTGCCTATGTCAGCTGCTATTTCCGACCCACTCACTCACTCACTAACCCACTCATCTATTCATCCACCCACCAACTCATCCACCGACTCACTAACCCACTCACCCACTACCCCAGTCACCCACTAACTCAATCACTCACCCACCCACCTACTCAACCACCCACTCACCCACCCACTCACTCAATCACTCACCAACCAACTCAATCATTCACCCACCCACTCACTCACTCACTCACCCACCCACCTACTCACCAACCCACTCACCCACCCACTTACCCACTAATTCAATCACTCACCAACCCACTCACTCACCCACCCACCTACTCACCCACTCACTCACCTATAAATTCACCTACTAACGCAAGCACTCACCCACTCACCAACCCACTAACTCACCCACGCACCTACTCATCCACCCACCCACTCACTAACCCACTCAACCACTCACTCACTAACCCACTAACGCACTTCCCCACGCAAACACCCACACACCCCTCCTAACGTCACCTGTGGTAAGCGAAGTGAAAGAAGAAAACATAATTTTACCACGTAAAGTCACGAAACAGCGGAGATAAAAAAAACGAAGTTCGAAAAGTTTCGTTGCCTGTGTGAGTTTCTTAACACTGCTGTTGTTGATGATGTTGATGATGTTGATAATGTTGTTGATGTTTAGATTTAAAGCTGACTGCAGGGATTAATCTTCTTGGTTCTTTCGGTAAAGTCACGTAGAATGGAAATAATAAAATAATAAAAATAAAACATAATAAAATAATTCTCACGACGTTTCGGCCACAACGCAAGCAGCCGTCCTCAGGTGAAGAACAGGCCGAAACGTCGTGAGAATTGGATTTTATTATGTTTTATTTTTATTATTTTGTTATTTCCATTCTACGTGACTTTACCGAAAGAACCAAGAAGATGTTGATGTTGTCAACATTGTTAATTTCCCATTTTTATTTAACATTTCACACACGCTGGGCGTGTCGTCGCTTATGAAAGGGAATTGACAAGGTTGGGCTACAATTGTGTGCGTGTGTGATTGGCCAGGCCGCTTCTGAAAAGAAGCTACATTGCAGCTCAGTAGACATTACAACTGGTAAAATTAGAACATAGTTTAGTTTTAGTATGGATCTCTGTCTCAATGGGTCTTTGTATCTATATGGGTTTCTATGTATCTCGATGGATCTCGGTGGGTCTCTGTCTCTCTATGGGTCTCTGTGTCTATGTATGGGTCTCTATGTATCTATATGGGTATCTGTGTCTTTATATGGGTCTCTGTGTCTCTATGGGTCTGTGTCTCTACATGGGTATCTATGTATCTATATGGGCCGCTGTGTCTCAGGGTCTATGTGTCTCTATATGGATCTCTGTGTCTCTACGTGGGTCTCTGTATATCTATATGGGTCTCTTTTTCGGTCTATGTATATATATGTTCGGACAACCAAAGTTAAGAAAGTGTCCACCGACGTTTCCTTGCCTGGGTGCGTTTCTTAAAACTCTGCTGTTGTTGATGATGCTGTTGATGTTATTGATGATGATGTTATTGATGATGGTGTTGGTTTTCAATGATGATGATGTTGTTGATGTTGTTTTTGTTGTTCATTTCCCGCATTTATTTAACACTAGCAGGAAGTACCCTGCTTTGCCTGGGAAAAAATATAATATTCGAAACTTGTGATCGTCTTCAGGAGGACGATCGCTTGTGTTGTGATCGAAACGTCGTGGTTTTTATTTTTATTTTATTAACTTTATTCTTATTTTTCTCTATCTACGTGATTTACCGAAAGAACCAAATCGTATATAGCTACACTCTAACTGTGCAAAGCGACATATGCATGATGTTTACTGAAAAGTAGTTCTGGAAGCAGCGGTTCTGATTAACGTATGTGTAACGGGTTCCGGAGACACTTGTAGAGGTAACTCCTTTATTACAATACAACACTCCAACAGTCC